GCGATGGCTGCGACTCCTGTGGGGGCTGTACCATGGGCGACCGGGCCTGCAGGGAACAGAAATAGGCATCAATTTCGTCCTCTGCCTCCCTGATCCCCCTCAGCCTACTCACCGCAGCCTGGAGCTCACCCACCTGCTCCTCCAGGGCACTAAGGCGTGCACAGGAGGGGCAGGCCGGGAGACCACCAGGCCCCACCCCCGCCCAGGGCTCCGCCAAGCCCCCTCCGCAGACAGGGGGGCAAGGGGCCACCGACTCCACCACGATTGATCACCATGATCAACCACCTTGATCATGAGTTTTGAGAGAGAGAGCAAGTTTCAGATGGTACAGCTCTTCTCTGTCTCTGAGTCTCCCTCTTGGCTGCTGCCCCCTCCTCCTGGGCAGTCTTTAACTTATATAGCCCTTGTGACCTCATTTACCTAGTCTAATGGAGGCCAGCACCTGTTGGCTGTCATCCAACCAATTTGAAATACGTCACTAGTTGCCGGGCAGACTGGCAGTCTCTAGCCCACCAGGGTGGAAGCCCCTCACCCAGGTATGTGATACTAGTCACATAGGCAGAGGGAGCAGGGTTTCCTGCGCAACCTCCCAGGGCTAAAAGGCTCCCCTTTCTGATGAACATTACCTACAGCTGTGATAATAAAGAAATGTTGTCAATAAAGTAATTGAGGAACAACATCTCGGACAATGATGCATAGGCCTGACCTCGTGCTAGGATAGAAAAATACTGAAGTTTTGAACAAAGGCTTGAAATTCTTATAAAAGGCAAAACCTGATAACAAGAAGGTAGGACACATTCTGCAACTTCACTGGAACACAGACATGTCTGTATCCCCCGCTTCCTAATTTCTCATGCTCACTAGGTTGGCCACCTGAGTGCAGCATTGAGCAACAGACTTTGGTAACTATAGTGTGATTGTGTGTGTGTAAGTATGAGCACTCTTTTGAATATTATAATCAATAAACAGAGCATCTTGCCATATCCCCCTTATAAGGTCTCACTCATCATTTGAGCAATTGGTTATTTGTACAACATTTAATTGGTGGAGAATGTCAGAGAGGGATATAGCATATGCTATGGTTATTGATATTTTGGTGGCCAACCCTCGGTCATTGTAGTTGGCCAGGTAATGGGGGAAGAATTTTAGGCTTTTTCTCTGGTATCAATAGATTTTGAAGAATATAGAAGTTTATAGGATTGAATACCCGGGTTTTAAAGTATAAAGCTTGGCTGGTTGTGACCAGCAAGCTCGTGACTAACACTTGGTTGTAGCGGGTGTGGTTTGTTGGTGGTGGGGGGGGGGGGGGGGGAAACGTAGGTGTTTCTCCAGTGTTGTGTGGTTAACGACTGCGGATTTTAAGATACATTGTGTGGTTTGTAACCAATAGATTTCATAGACATCAGGGCTGGAAGGGACCTCGGAAGATCATCGAGTCCAGCCCCCTGCCCAAAGGGCAGGAAGTCAGCTGGGGTCATAGGATCCCAGCAAGATAAGCATCCAGTTTGCTCTTGAAGGTGTTCAATGAAGGTGCTTGAACCACCTCCGGTGGCAGGCTGTTCCAGACCTTGGGGGCTCGGACAGTAAAGAAGTTCCTCCTTATGTCCAGCCTGAAACAGTCTTGTAGTAGTTTATGATCATTTGACCTAGTCGTCATCCCTTGGGGCGCTCTGGTGAACAAACGTTCCCCCAGATACTGGTGGTCACCCCTGATAAACTTGTAGGTGGCCATCAGATCACCCCTGAGCCTGCGCTTTTCCAGGCTAAAGAGCCCCAGGGCTCTCAGCCTGTCATCGTAGGGTCTGCTTCCCTGACCTCTGATCATGCGCGTGGCTCTTCTCTGGACTCTCTCAAGCTTCTCCACATCCTTTTTGAATTGTGGAGCCCAAAACTGGAAGCA